ATTCAGAACAAGGCTCTTAGCATATTTCAAGAATGTTAATTGCTAAGTGGTGGCTGAAGCAGAAGGGTTCCATAATGTCCTTAAGAGTTGCCTTAAATGTCCTAGGCCCAGAATTTTAGAACTGGAAAAGGTCTTAAAGATCATCAAATATAGCATGGTCATTAAGGACATGAACTGTGGAGCCAGACTTCATGGCTCTTCTACTTAATCCTCTCTGTGTTCTCAGTTTCTTCACCTTTAAAGTGGGGATAATAATAGCACGTTTCAGAGAGTTTTCTGAGTATTAAATCTGTCAACACTGAACATATTAACCTTTAAAATATTAATGTGATCATGAAAACACAAAACTTCCTGGGACACTGTAACTACCTATGAATGGTGCTCATGTGTGTATTCATTTATTATTATCATTTTTATTAGGAATAGTCTCATTTTATTGTAACAGAAACTGAGGCCTGGAGGAGTTAAATGGCTTTCTTACACAGGCAGAGGATGGAGCTCTGCTTTTTTGGGGGAATGCTCTTGCCCTTATAATATGTTGCTTTGACTTGTATGTTAGTGGGTATGGACAACTTTTTCAAAAGAAAAAAAAATGGCAGTTTTTTTGAAGAAAATATGAAAGGTAAAGGGGGAACATCATTTATCATTTCTTCTGAGCATCTTAAAAGTACTTCTTAGTATCTTTTATATGAATTCTGTAACCCATGTATAGGCCAGGCTCCTGTCTCTGCCCATTTTCTCCTTATTTTCAGGATTTGTGGATTATTTCACAGCGGTCTTTCTTCTTTTTTTCCCCAAGATTTATTTATTTATAAATACAGAACTGGGGTACAGACCAGAGGTGCAGAGGCAATGAGAGGATTCACCAGAGACAGAGTGGGGAGCAGAACAGGCAGATTGACAAGTACACTGCTGAGGGAGCAGCAGGCGAGACAGGAGAGGTCTGCAGCGCCATGTGGGTCACCTCTAGGGCCCGGGATCGAGCTCACACTGAAGTGGCTGCAGACAGCTTACAGTGCTGCATCCTAACTCATTGCGCTACCAGGGAGGGCTGTCTTTTTGTTTTTTTTTTTTTTTAACTGAAATGATATTTACACAGTATGCATTTCACCATGATAAAGTGTACATATAGCTCAGTGGCTGGGGGACGTTCACAGTGCTGTGTAGCCACCATGTCTGCCGGTTGCCATTCACTTTCATCATCCCACAAGAGAACTAGTAGCTGTTAAGTCCTCACTCTCCATTTTGCCTTCTCCAATCTTGTCAGACACTAATCTGCTTTTGGCTCTATGAATTCATCCTTTTTAGAATTTAATGTAAATGTGGTCATACAACATGTAACATTTTTGTATCTGGCTTCTTTCACTTAGCATAGTGTTTTTGAGCTGTAGCCATAACATGGGTCACTGTGTTGTTCATTTTTATGGCTGAGTAATATTTTATCATATGGATATTTCACATTTTGTTCAACTATCGGTTGAGATTTCATTTATTTCTACCTTTTTGCTGTTGTGAATAGTGCTGCTATGAACATGTGTGTAGAAGTATTTGAGTACCTGTTTTCAGTTTTTTTTTTTTTTTTTTTTGGTTTATATTTAGGAATGGAATTGCTTGGTTATATAGTAATTCTGTATACCATTTTGGAGAGTTGCCAAACATGTTTCCATAGTGGCTGGCCATTTTACATTCCCAAGAGCAATGTGTAAGAGTTCTAATTTCCACAATCCTTGCCAATATAGGTGTTTTGGGGCCTTTCTTTTCTGGGAGTTTTATCATTAGTAACTCAACCTCTTTATTTGTGTTATCACTTTGTTAAATTAACACTTGTTTAATGCACCACAGGATGATGAATGGTGAGCCATGATTCAACAGTAGACCACAAGTGAATTGAAATAAAGAAATACATTACTCACAGTTCCTGGAAAGTATAGGACATACTTCAAGGCAAGGGGTCACATTGCAGTGGGGGTGTAAGTGTGGTAGTTCTGGTAAGACCTGTGGGAATTACCTCAAAATGGTACATGTGACTTACCATGGGAAATAGGGATGATTACTGATTCCAAGGGCTCTGGGAAAGTTATACTAGGTTGTTGTTCATAATATTCTATAATTCCTTTTGTTTCCATAGGCTTGTGATAATGTTACCACTTTTTTCTTCCTTGATTTTAGTAATTTGAGTCTTCTTATTATTTTCTTTTCATTTGAATGGCCTTTACTTGTGGCTGGGTTGTTTTTAGCTGCATATTGGTGACCGTAGATGATCTCTTTAATGCTAAAAATTAAAAAATATTGGGCAGGTTTTTTTTTTGCATAAAATAAGAAAAATGAAGTAAAACATCATCAGTCATTTTTCCTGAGAATCTTAACTCTACTTATAATGTAGATTTAGTGTTGTTAGGTTTTTCTGTGAGTTTATCTTTTCAAGGAATGAGCTCTTAGTTTTGTTGATTATATGTTGTTGTTGTTGTTTTAATTTTTCATTTCATGGGCCTCTAGTTTTTATTTCTTTCCTTCTTCCCTTGGGTTTAGTAGTTGTTTTTTTTTTCTTCCCTAGACTCTTAAGGTGGAAGGTTAGGTTGTTGGTTTGGACATTTTTCCTTTTGAAACAGATGTTTACAGCTATAAATCTCCTTTTTAGTACTTTTCCCACTGCATCCTGTGTAATGACATACTATGTTTTAATTTTTATTTACCTCAAAATATTTAATAATTCACCTCCGGTTGTTTAAAATCATTTACTTTGTAGTTTGGGAATTTTACGTATACTTCTGTTATTGATTTTTAGTTCCATTCCATTGTGGTCACAGTAGATACTTCATATGATTTCAGTTTTTAAAAACTCATTGCGACTCGTGTGGCTAAACATATGGTCTGTCCTGGAGAATGTTCCATGTGCACTTGAGAACAATGTGTATATGGCTGTTGTTGGATGGAACATCCTGTACACTTTTTTACTTCTTATTGATTTATAGGTGTGTTCATGTCTTCTATTTCCTTGTTCACCTTTTATGTAGTTGTGCTGTCGTTGTCAGGCTGTTTCCACTTTAGTTTTGTTAATTTTGCTTCATATTCTTTTTATGTTGTTACATGTGTACATATTTATACTCATCTATAAACTGCTTGACGAGTTTTTCATTATATAATGTCCTTTTTTGTCTCTAACATTTTTTGTCTTCAAGTCTATTTGTCTGATATTAGTGTAGCCGCTCCAGTTCTATTTTGGATAATGTTCCCATGGAATATCTTTTCATTCTTTATTTTTCGTACTAATTGCTCATTTTTTTTTTTTGGTTCTAAAGTGCCCCTCTTATAGATGACATACAGTGAGTCATCTTTAAAGTGTCTGTTCTGCCAATCTCTGCCTTTTAATTTGTGTATTTAATCTGTGCACACTTTAATGGAATTAATTACAGGTTTAAAAGGATTTTTTGCCATTTTCCTATTTGTCTTTTTTTGTTTCTCATTTCTCCATCACTACCTTCCTTTGTGTGATGTATTTTCTCATGTAACATTTTGATTCCTTTCTTATTCCTTTGTTATATATATCCTTTAGTTATTTTCTTAGTGGTTGCCCTGGAGATTAAAATTAGCATTTTTATTTATAATAGTCTAATTTAAATTAACACCGATTTATTTAAATACTGTACAAAAATATTATTTCTGTATAACTTTGTTCTCCCACCCACATCTTAACAATTGTGTGCCCTTTCGATACTGATTTATGATTGCAACATGTAATTGTGTAATTGATTTTTAAATGTGCACTCAGAATAAACTTAGTCAATAATAACATGTTACTGTTTTATCCTTGTATTGCTGCTTCGATTTGCTAGTATTTTTCTAAGGATTTATGTTTCTCTGTACTTGAGGGATATTATTTTATAATTTCCTGTGTGAGAGCATGGTATCCTTGTCAAGTTAGAATTGGTAAAGCTGGTTTTGTGAGTTGGATATTGCCCCTACCCCTGTTTTATGAAAGGGCTGTTTTAAATTGGCATTATATCTTACGTATTTAATAAAATCTATCAGTGAAACTGTGACCTAGATTCTTTTTGGGAGGTGGGGAAGATTTTCAATTACTTATTCACATAAAAAATAGAAATTTCCCAGCTGTTGTCTCATGGTCAGTTTTGCCATATTGTTTTTTCTTTTTCCCCTAAGGAATTTGTAGAATTTTTCTGAGTTGTCAAATTTGTTAGCATACAGTTGTTTATAATCTCCTAGTAACCAATCTTTTAATGTCTCTAGCGACATGACTTGTAAGAGGTGCTTAAATTAACATTATGGCAAACATTTATGTTGTGCTTATCACATCGCTTTCTTTCATTTTACAAATTTTAATGCATTGAATTTCCATGACGATATATTGAGTTTGATAATCTCACTTTCGTTTTATAGATGAAGAAACCCAGGTTAAATTGAAAGGCTTAAAGTGCCTGTTCATGATTACAGAGCTGGCATATTAGGAGTTTACTGTGTGATCTGTCCATCTAGGTCCACAGTCCTTGCTTAACCACTGTTTACTTTTCCTTTCTTAAATGACAGATAATCTGTTTTCTTTTTCTTGTGGAATTTGGCTGTGTTCTCTTTAGAAACTATCCTTTCTCCACGGAGTGGAGCCATTTGTTTTTGGTATGCCTAATTATGATTTGGAATGCCTTTTTCTCCATTAAAAATTACATTTAATGGCTAGGCATATATATTATTGCTAATACTCCTTTTCAGTCACATAATATGTTAAAAAGTCTTCTGGGGTTTCCCTGGGAAGCTTACTGTAATTTATACTGTGCAATGTTTCTGTGGAAAAGTATCAGAAGAAATTAAATTCATTTACCTAAAAGATCGAACTTCAGTTATTAGAAGTTGACTTAATTTTTAAGAATTTCTTAGTGATTTGCTGTTAATGAGGTGTTATCAATCATCATTTAAAAAAGACAAACATAATTGCTTTGTGCACATATTTTTTCCACTTTGATTAATTTGTTGATAATTATTTTTAGGGTTCTTCAAATGTGCAGAAGAATATTCTTCAGGTGGATCAGAACTGTGTTCGCAATTCTTACGATGTCTTCTGTTTGCTGCGGTAAGAAGCTGCTTAGAGCCCTCTTGCATTAAGAGTCCTCCTTTTGAGTTTGTGACATTGCACTGTGAAGAAATGTATGGGAGGTTTAGAAGTTGTTATTCAGACTTCACATTTTTTAGTGAGGGCTTCATAAATTTTGTAGCTACAGTGATTTAAGTTTATCTCTTTCATAAAGCCTTTGGAAAGCCCGTTCCTTTCTCTGGGCAGTGGGGATGAAGGCTTGGAAGCCAGTGATCTTAAAACTGGGTCATGATCTGTTTCTGTGCTTCTATGTTATAAGGAGCAGTAACCAGAGGTACAAAATTTAGACTTTGCAAAATCTTACAAATTACAGCTTTACCAAAAATGTCCTCCAATAGCCCCAGACATTACTTAGAGTTCTAACCTACTGTTCTTAAAAGAATCATGTTTGGCAAGGCAAAGGAGCTTTTCACAAATCTCATGCTTAGAAGCTTAACTGCCTCGGCTCTATATTTTCATAATGTCTGGACTTAATTTTGAAAGGATTTTAAATTTGGTTTTAATTTTTAATGTAGTAATATCATCAAGGACATTTTCCCAGGGGGAAGACTACCAAAATAAATGCAATTCAAAATAACAGTGACACTCAACCTGTGTTCACCCTACTCAGACAAATGGTTCATTGAAATTTGATTTTGGCTGTATTTTCCTAATGTTTACGTAACACATCATAAATTTTGGGCCACTAGACATCCTCTGTGTATCTACTAGGGGAAGAGTCCAGAAGGATGATTGGATGCTTGTCCAATTGGTTAATTGTTTATTTAATAAACATTTTTGAAATGCGCCTTTGCTTTGCAAATGTTGAACCTTATTAAGCACCATGGTAGGGAGCTGGGTGCATGGGCTGTGTAAATTGCCCTTAGGAGACACTGATCTCAACTAAAATAACCACACGTGTTTGATTCTTACCTATAAGATGCTTTCACTTTGACTTCTTAGGATACATGAAAGAATGGACAGGATTTAGAATTGGATGGTGGAGATAAAAAGCAAGAGTGTCCAAATATAAACCCATATTTTTGAGCCTGTGCAGTTTGGGATGACATTAAACTTTAGTTATTGAAAATAGGAATGTGCAGAAATAGTTTGAAGTGGTAGTAAGCTGTGAATATTTCTTGACCTGTTACCTCAGTAAAGTGGAGAGTATAGATGTTACTTTAAAAAATAATTTTGATTGTGTGATCTCACACAAGAAATATGAAATATTTGCTAAAGGAATATGTAGAATTAAAAGAAAAAAAGCATGCAAAGCCATTGAGAAGAGAAAGATTTGGGGTAGATAGCCTCATAAAAGCTAACAGAGTAGAGTGAGTAGTATTGGCAGCTTTGTGTGATACAGGAGAATAGGAGCTGAGGAATGACGTTTTGGTTCAGGGAAGCAACATGGTATAATAGAGAATGTTCTAATTAACCAGATCCTCATTTATCCAATTAGCTTAAATCATGTATCCCCTAATTCTTTTGAAAAGTGGAAGCAATGATTACAAGTTGTGTGCCTTACAGCCATTTCACATATTATCCTCTTAGAAACTTTTCTGTGCAGTAGGGATTCGTCTTTGTTTTCAATGTAAAGGCTGAAGACAAAAGATGTTAAATAATTTATTTATCTGGGGACACACAGAAGTGAGAACCAGACAGGAGGTTGGTATGAAGCAAGGCCTGAAGATTCTTTTCAGTTTCACTTATCTTCTAAGACTGGTGGTTACTAGGCTCATATACCATAATAACAGAAAAGTTTCTGAAAATCATAAATAAATAAATAAATGCAAAATCATCAGGTAAATTTCTGGTTGCTCAGTTAGTTAACACTGATCTTGTAATGAAATGATTTTTGGGAGTTCCGATTCTAAGGTATGTTAGCATTCTAAGGTGGTAGCAATCTAAGTTTGCCTTTTTATTAACAGTGATCTTCTCATCACCACTGTGTGAAGGAATTCAGAGCTGATAACACAGATATGTTTTTCCTGAACTTGATCAAGTGTCTGTTCTGTCAACTAAGTTATCGAAACTTAGAGTTACTCTGGGACTGGAAAGTTACCATCATACCTGTCAAAGGTGATAAGTAAAGTGGCACTTCCTCATGGTTCTCTCAGACATTAGTAGAGCGGCCGTCATCTGCTCAGTCAGCTGGTCATTTGTGCTCCTCTTCCCACGAGGTGTGAGAAGTGCTTACTGGACATTGAATTTTTTGCCTTGCAATTTTGTTCATAGTTTATTTACCCCTTTAACTTAGGCGATATTTTTCCAGACAGGGGTAATAGCTTTTCCTCCTCCAATTGCTTTTCTTGGTTTATGAATGGCTACTTACTGAGCTGTAATTTTATCTGAAAACACAGAGTTTAATATCATTTGACTCTACAAAGTTCTCTGTGCCCTTTGAAGTCAGGTTTAGATTCCAAGTCTTCTGATTCTGTTATTTTGATGTCTCTATTCAAGTTAATAACTTTGTCTTGTGCCACTCACAAGCATACATTCCTTCTGCTTTTTTTATGTGAATGTCACAAAAAACTAGGAAATCTTGAAGAAGGCAAAGATCATAGAGCACCTAAAAGTGGACACGAGAGCTCCTTCAGGTGACTGTATTGTAACATTTCGCAGGAGGTGGTTTTATCCAGATTCCTTGGCCTGTATTTTAATATTGTCAGAGTAGCTCCAATTTACATCCAGTCTGGGTGCCGTTAAATGAATTTTTACTTCTTAACCCTGGAAATCCCTCTTTTGAGGGTCAGTTTGCATGTAGGCAAGCATGTGAGGCATGTCACTATAAGCTTTGGTACCATGGCTACTTCAACTTAGGATGTTCACCACCAGGTGTCAATGTTGCTCTTTAACTGGAATGTGAAATTTCATTTCTTTTGAAATGAGAAAAGTGGGGTTATAAGTTACCCTGAGCATTTATTTTTAGAAGTTAAGTTGTTTTTTCATTCTGGTTTTCTTCTAGTGTAGTTTTATGTTATTCCCTTTTGGACATGCTTTACTTTGGCCAGCGTAACAAGTTCGAGTAACTTTGGTTTTGTACCTGGGTCCAGCCCTGTAACTGCCATGCTCCGTGACTGGCTGCAGGACTTTGGGCAAGCTATTTGCCTTTGGTGTGCCTCACCATACTTTTGCAACATGAGGGTAATATTTGTCTTGTAAGTATATAGAAGAGTTAAATAAAGGTTATATACATGAAAGTCCTAGAACACATACTGGCATAGAACAGAATTCAATAAGGAATAGTTTTTATTTTCCCCTCTGCTTCTGTCTCCAACTTAACTTTCTCTATAGGACAGTGTTCCCTTTTAGTTACCACCGGCTTTTCTAGTATTAAGCACAAATTCCTGCTCTTTTGTCCTTTATAATGTCTGCATCCTTTGCTTTTAGAGTTATTTTAATTACTCATAAAAAGTGATAGAAATTACCATGTGTAAGTCTTCACTTCCTAATGGCATCAAAAACTTCTTGAAGGGAGGATTTATTCCATATGGTTATATTTTCTCTTGTCATTCTAACTTATCCACAGTTCTTAGTACCATCTGTGAGTCCTAATGTGGTCCCATTCTGAGGGTCTGTGGATGGAGTATTTTCTACATTTTCTCCCGGAGTTCTCCCCTGTTACCACCTTTGACCAAAACACTCTCAAATCTCTATCACTAACTCTTTCTCTCTTTTGGATTTCTGACCTTTGTTTATCAAACTGGGGTAGTATATGCTATTTTGATTGGTCAAATTGAATTATTCTTCGAGTTATAGAGAACAAGGGTTTTGTCACTAGTACTGGTTTGTGGCTAGCAAAACGAGGAATTTTGCTAGAAATTTCTAGGCCATTACTTAAAAAGTATTGAAAAATACAATCAGATTTGTGACCCTTCACAGCTACCTTTCTGTCACGGCCTTCCTCACAACATCTGGTGAGATTTCAGACTTTTATTACTTAATCTTATGTTTTCTATAGATTTTTCTGAAAGAGCCATTTCTGGCTTTCTAGAGGCAAATTGCCATGTTCCTTCTTCCCACCCCCTATGAAATTTCAATTTTAAAAGGGAAATGTTATACCAAATGAATTTTGTAGGGTATTTAGGGTAGTGGTTAGAAAGCAGGATGAGCTGTACAAAGGCATAATACATAATCTTTCAGTTTTGGATGTTATAACAACTTTGAGGTTTGCAGGAAGAGTTCATTTTGTTCTCAACATCTAATGATCTTTCCCTGAGTGATTACAGTTATATAGAATAAAGGTAAGAACTCAGCTACAAACAAGAGGTGTCAAAAATTTATGTACTAAAACACCCAAAAGACACAAAAACACTGATTGAAAAAGATACCTGCACCCCCATGTTTATTGCTGCTTTATTTACAATTGGAAAAACATGGAAGCAGCCCAAATGCCCCAAAGTAGATGACTGGATTAAAAAGATGTGGTACATACATACAATGGATTATTACTCAGCAACCAAAAAAGAGAAACACATGTCTTTTGCAGCAACTTGGATGGAGCTGGAAAAGATCATGCTTAGTGAGGTAAGCCAGAAAGAGAAAGAAAAATACCGGATGGTTTCACTCATAGCAGGAGTATAATGGACCAGGCGAAAAAATAATGAACAACCATATACCAGAGACATTTTGCGGGGGTGGAGTGGGGAATGGGATCAAAAATGGGGGGGATTGGGAAATGCACGGGATTATGGCGATGGCACACAGGTGATTTGGTGATGGAAAACCCGTGGGGATTACAATTGAGATGGGAAAAGGCATAAAATGATGTAAAAATAAACTGTTATAAAAAAATTTATGTACTAAAACTCATGTATTTTTTCATTCATAGTAGATACTAGACTGTTAGTGTCTCACTTTTAATAAATTAGAAGGGAAATGGGTAGGACTACTCTCTTAAGGTAGACTGACAGGAGAAAGGAAAGCTGATGCTGTGCTCTGTTTGTGATTTACTCTTTCCGGAATATAGTTAAGTGATGTTATCTTAGCTAAGGTCCTGC